CAGAAATTGATTTTGTGAAATATGAAAAAGCATTGCAGCTAAGGTACACGCACCATATGATCCCCACTTTAAACTTTGGATTGATTGACAACGTTCATTCAATTTAATAACTCAGACAAATTATCATCTAAAATAATTAGTTAAATCCCAATCCCTTGGCAATTTAACCCTTTAATTCAATTGGAATCCTAATCCCTTAGCAACCCTGCATGAAATTAAGCATTAATTACGATAAATCAAACGACTGCAACTCACACAAGTCTATCCCTAGAGCATACATAAATTGTTATCTTACCCCCTTTCAGAATTAAAAACCCCAATATTCCTATTGCGAGCCCTAATTCCCAAATTATTATCTCCTATTAGGTTGATCAAGTCTAATAGAAATAATATCAATACGCACAGGGTAAAAATAAAATATATTAAAATAAACGAGCGAAAATAATCAATCCAGCGTAAAAAAAGGTTCACAAAGGGTTTGTGACCCTAACTACAATAAAAAGAAACTAGCCAACCATGGTCATGGCTGACATAAAATTATATAAGATAAAGATAAGGAGTGTAATTACAAGAAGAAGACTAAGAACAATCCTCCGTTCCTCTCCTCCTTCTGCAATCCTTGTTTTTCTTTCCTTCTGCCGACGAAAAGTCTCATCTTTCTGTCAACAAAGGTCGTTTTTATATCCCCATCTCGTCTTTTCGAAACTGCCCTTAATGAACACAGAATTTTTTTCTCGCAAAACGGCGCAAGTTGGCGCCATTGTGGCGCCACTTTGCGCCATGTTTTTGGATGCATGCAAAACACGGACCTGAGGAACTCAGAAAACGGCGCGAGTTGGCGCCATTATGGCGCCACTCTGCGCTAATTTTGTGACTTTTATAAAATACGTCTTCCAAACCTCGTAAGCCGGCGCGGGTTGGCGCCAACTTGCGCCAAGTCTCTGTCCATTGTACTATGCTTTCCAATCCGGCGCTGGTTTGCGCCAATATGGCGTCGGTCTGCGCCAACTTGCTGGAATTTGTACTGAGGATCACCCGTGTGGAGTTGCATCAAGTAGCTTTTTACAATTTTGTAGTTTTTACTTCTTCTACCTATATAAACACAACAAAAAGGTGAGAAGTATCATTGACATGGAAAAGTCAATATAGTAAGAAAATATGTATATAAATTGCTCCTTTATGACTTAATCCTTATCAATTTCAGCTTAGAAAACTACATCTGTCAGAGGCACATCAACCCGCCAAAAAATATGGGTTGGAAAAATGAACCCACCCCGTTTTATGGGGGGTTAGCGGGTCAACCCACCAACCCGCCAATTAAAAAAAATTATTTAAAATTCAAAAAGAAATTATATTTTATGAATTTTTCTAATATTATTTTATTTTATTTCACACTTCTCTATATTTTTTTAGTCTCAATCTTAAATGTATACTAATATTTGTCAATCGTTCTTTAGAAATTTATATATAGATAACATTTGTCATAAATAAAATTGTTATTCTTTATTTTTTCTAGGAAGTACTAAGATAAAAAAAAAATTGGATATCACAAATATTTAAGGACTAATGAAATACTACCTAATTGTAAAATAAAAAATAAAAAAATTATAACCTGGCGAGTCAACCCGCTCAGCGGCGGGTTGAACCCGTTTTGACCCACTTCTAGGCGGGACAGATTGAGGTGGGTTGGTGGGTTGAAAACCTCAACCCAACCCACCCCTTTTTGGCGGATTGACGGGTTGACCCGTCGGGCTCAACCCATATTGCCACCCCTAGCGACTGCAGAAAGCTATTCTCCTGCCTATGACACATTTTTTTTTTACAATTTTTATTTTACTTTTTGAAGTTAATATATGGTGGGACCATTAAAAAATTGTGTGAGCTGCAAAAAAAATTCTTCTCCCATGAAAGGAGAAGAACAAAGCCCTTAATATGAAAGCATTAAATATGGGGAATCATAACCATACAAAAGTGAAAATAAATATAAAATATTAAACATAGAAAAAAATAAGATTTTTAGAAAGTTAAATCAAAACTGTTGGATCCACATAATCGATCTAACGGTGAAACAAACTGGTAGTGACGTACAATATCCTTTCTCATATAAATATTCTTTTATATTTCATCTTGGTAACCAACGTCTTCAACATAAATGTTGCAACTTTTAAATTTCTCTGCCTTTCCTTCTTACTCAACTCTGCCTACCACTTAAGGTCAAAAAGTCAAAACATTGTACATTACTTGTTTATTTTATTTTTTTCTCCAAAAGAGCTATACTTATGACCGTATTTAATATATCCATCGATATTATTATTGGACCTGAATGATATTGAATAATGAACCATAAAATATTGCTATATTTTTTTTATATATTTGGAATTATTCTAAGGCTTAGCTTGAATCCCCTTATAATTATATCTTGTATATCAGGGATTACAAGAAGATTTTTGTTGACTTTAATTCCTCAATTATTGCTAGCATGATTCATAGGTGGGATAGGAGACTGGTATGAATGAAGACTAATTTCATCATTATATCTCTCATTGGTAGAAAGAAGTCACCAAAAAAAGTCATCATACAACAGATTCGAAGAGAGATATCCCTTTGCAGAATTATATTACCCAAAAAGGAATAGAAGCAAAGTTAAGAATGTAATTACAACCATTCACCAATATATATTTTTTGAATACATGGGAATCGAACTTGCAACACTACACACCCATTAAACACTACACACACACTACACCACTAGGCTAATCCTAGTGGATACCATTTACCAATATATATATATATATATAGGGGCAGGATATTCTTACACTGGTGTAAGAGTTAGAAGTCTTACACTCAATCTTGAACTTTGATCCACTTGTATCCAATAGCTCACATTACTAAAAATATAGAGCCCTTGTATATAAGTGGGATCAACGGACAAGATTGAGAGTGTAACTTACACTGGTGTAAAATAATCCTGACCATATATATATATATATATATATATATATATATATATATATATATATATAATTACAACTAGATGAATATATTGGGTTCGAATTAGAGTTGTCAAAATGGTTAGCCCATCCCATTAAGCCCTAGTGTGTATGAGTTGGGGCCAAATGAATCACAATAATAAAGGCCCGTATAAGACAAAAATCCTATTGGTTAGGGCCAACCCGCGTGCCATCCAAAATTATAATTACATAATTATTTTTATCATATTCAATACATTAAAAATTATTTTAACAAATAAAAATTTAACACTTTCTTAACATATTTTATACAAATTATAAATTTTTTATAATTTAATTTTTTTAATAAAATAATATTGTACACAAATATACAAGTGAAAATATAAACAAAATTTTAATATAAATGAAAATTTAGTTACTACATTTACAAAATTCATTATTAAAGGGTGTCATCAAGTAAAGATTTTCTCATCAGGAGTCATAATAGAATACAACAACTCTAGTGGAAAACTAAAAGTAATGATGGAAAAGTGATCTTAATATCAGTATTGAATAACTGCTCTTAGTATGCTATATATTTGAAAGTAAAACCATGGATTTTCTTCAACTACTACGTTACAAAAAACTTTTTATTTATTTTTATCCACAAAATTACTAAGGTACATTGTATACAATATGTTTGAATACAAATTTGGATATATAACATGATTAGATGTCAATAGAAAAATTCATTTTTATTGATATGTAGATAAAATTCTCTGTTAAAACATATCACCGGTGAAAAATTCATTTTTGTTAAAATATTATGGATGACATTTCACATGGTTCATAACACGTGACTCTTTATTTTTCATGACCTTTGATGTATTCTATGATCATCACACTAATAGTATGTCAAATTGTAGAATACATCCAAGGGGGAGTATTGTAAAATATTATGCATCTTTTACATGGATTATGGATGATCTTTCACATAATTCATAATATACTACTCTTTATTTTTTATGACCTGTGATGTATTATATAACTATCACACTAATGATGTGTTGAATTGTAGAATACATGCAATAGGGAGTGCTGTAAAATATTATAGATGACCTTTTTTTTTGGGGTACAATATGGATGACCTTTTACATGGTTCATAACATGTGACTCTTTGTTTTTCATGACCTTTGATGTATTCTACAACCATCACACTAATGGTGTGTTGAATTATAATTATTCCCGTAATTATATTTAGAGTCCTATATAAGGACATATCTTAGATGAAAAATTGGTACTTGGTGAACTTAGAATATAATAATAGTTCTTTACTTTCAAGAACTCATACTTGTTCTTATCTTATTCTTCTTTTGATTTTCTTTCTACATTTCGTTTTCCTTTCTTCCATATTTCACATCTGTGCAAGTCTTTTTTATGGGTTCGTTTTTCTGTGATGAATACAGATAAGTTATCTGCATTGAATCCAAAATGACATCGTTTTGGGACGAAAATCAAGATATTTGTGTAATTATTATTTATTTCAAGGTTATAATATTCTTTATCATTATAATTTTTTAATCTTTAAATCCAAAACTACGTCGTTTGGGAGTATATATATAACTTACTGCATTTACTGCAGAAATATTAAAGTTTTTTTATACTTGATAATACCAACAAATACTAGTTTAATAAGTTGGGAGTTACTTTTAATGACTCCTTTCATTACATATTTAAATATTCAATCCTTATTCAAAGTTTGGTATCCAATGAACATAATTCAATTAATAGATACGAATTAATGAATTTTCGAAATTTGAATAGAGAATAGTTAATCAAAAGTTAAATATTTAATATTTTAAAATTAAAGAAACACAAAACAAGAAGATTGATCATAGAAAATCATTAACAATTGGTTGGGATTCCACTCAAATAAACAAAGATGCAATTCATTAGAGAATTAGAGATAATCAAGCTAAGGATTATATGTAGTTGTTTACACTTTTTGGCATTCTAGCGTACGTATTTGGCTTTCTCTATATGATAAGTAATTCAGTCGCGACGCTCATACTTGCGAGCCCAAATATGTTTCCCATTGATATAAAGCTTTGCAACGCGTTTCCCATTTAGAATCTGATCCACTGTTTCTACCATTTGCAAAATCATTATTGCAAACAAGTGTTGGTCATTCTCGTCAACAGTTCCCATAGTTAAACTTAAGATGCAATCCCCATATATCCTTGTAAACAATACTCTCACCTCCTGTTCTGATACAGGAAAGCCCCTAGAAAATGTTAGAAACATAGATCTATCATCATCAGTTACATCATTATAGGGTTGCTTTCCATCCCATATCGTATTATCAGACAAATCCAGGTTCATTGTCTTTGGTGGTACATCAAAAGCACCAAACAATGGGTGCGGAAAACCAGGTACAACCAAAGGCATGTATGATGTGCTAGCTTGACTGATTTTTGAACTTTTCAAAACAATCTCCACAACATCATTGAAAACTCGAGCACAAATATTTTGTAGAACACTTTTGATACCTGCTATTGTGGTATACCTTTTCTTATTGAAGATTCGAAGAGAGATATCCTTTTGTGTTAGCTTTTGGGTTAAGGGTAAGCCTCCACCATTTGGGATGAGAGGATTATCTATCTCCAAGCACTTTAAGCAAACTACAGCTTCGTCAACCAAAGCATTGACAAGAGCATTAGGTAGACCCATGATTTTACGGACAACATTAGAGTTTCCAATGTTTTCAAGCCAAAGCCACAAGGCCATGACCAAAAGGGATTGGGTCAGGTCACGATGTAATTTGAATACTAAGAAACAGAAGACTTCACGGTCAATTTGGTGAAATAGATGAAGCTCATCGATGGTAATTGGAGCCATTTTACTAATGAATAGTAGTGAAAGGGAAAGAAAACAAATTGACAAGGGAGCATGGAATGATGACGCCAAAGTGATAAAAACCATTTTTATATAACTCACTAAAAGATGTATAATAAATGTGGTCAAATTGTCGAAGAGCGTATGGAGAACACAAAATATATCCTATGCTTAGCCTAAAATATGAGAATGAATGTAATAACGAAAAAAAATAAATTAAATCAAATGATGGTAGCTCAATTGGCGTCAAATAACTTAGCAGTTGGGGATTAGAACATGTGTTCGATTTACCATTTTTTTTGAAGGGTGCCTTAATCCTGGGACCCACCTCGTATCGGACTAGTCGTGAAGCGATGAATTGATTGGAATATCTCAAAATAAAAAAAATTAATTAATTAATAAAATGAGTTAGTGTGGACCTACGGTAGAAAAGCCAACTCAAAGACAAAGAGTTGTATGATTTTTTGTGAGGCTCTTTTTTTAATACTTGTTAATGCCAACACTTATTATTTGAATAAGCTTTCGAAAGTTACATTTAGTGACTCTGTTGACTATTTATTTGAATTTCGATTCCTTATTAGAGTCTGGTTTTGATTGGTATATATACGATGGACATGGTTCTTCATGTGCATTAATGAATTTATTAAAAAAATAGAAAATAATTAATGAAAAATAAAATATTTAATATATTCAAATTAATGTATTATTATTTTCTTTAAATAGATAAAAATATTTATTAAACAATATTAAATACTCATTAATTATTGATTATTTTTTGTTAAAATTAATTAGTGTTATAAGAACACTGGTTATAAGATCCTGTTTAAGACTAAAAAGTAATATTTATAGCTATAAGACTATAACTATGATTTAAATATTTTTCAAAACACATACTAACTCACATATATTAAATCTTGAAAAAGAATAAATCAATTTATTCAATTTCTAGATAATTATAATTAAGGTTTCCCACTAATTTAATGAAGGTTTATCAATATGAACTTGACCAAAAAGTCCTCATTATCAACGAATAAATTTTTTGACGAAAAAAATTCCGTCGAAATTAGCGACAAAATTTTCAACAGAATCCATTTTTCGTCAAATTTTTTGATGGAAAATGGATTCGGTCAAAAAAATTTGACAAAAAATTAATTATGTCAAAAACTTTTTGACAGAAATCAGATCTGTTGAAAATTTTCCACGAAAAAAAATTCCGTCAGAAACTTTGCAAAAAACCAAATGTAAAAGAAATTATGTTTGTGGACTTTTCGACGGAATTGAGATTCCGTCGAAAACTTCGACAAAAAATGAATCTCTTTGAAAATCCTTGCAAAAAAATAAATGTAAAAGAAATTATATTTGTGGACTTTTCGACGGAATTGAGATTCCGTAAAAAAATTTCAACAAAAAATGAATTTCGTCGAAAACCATTGCAAAAAAGCAAATGTAAAAGAAATTATATTTGTGGACTTTACGATGGAAACTGAATTTCGTCGGAAATCTTTGAAAAAATAAAAGAAAAAAAATTGTGTATGTGGACTTTTCGATGGAATTGAGATTCGGTCGAAAATCTTTGAAAAAAATTAAATGAAAAAGAAAAAATATTTGTGGACTTTTCGACGGAAAATAAATTTCGTCGAAACCTTTCAAAAAATAAAAGAATTTTTTTTTATATTTTTGGACTTTTCGACGGAAACTCGACTCCATCTGAAATGTTCGACGTAAAACAAATTCTATCAAAAACCTACTATGACCTATATATATATATATATATATATATATATATATATATATATATATATATATATATATATGGATAAAGTGAGAATTGAACACATAACCTAATATGACCTACCCAAACTCCTTACCACTAGACCAAGCCTAGTGACTTAGAATAGCTTAAATTTAACAACTTATTTTATAAATTAGAACTGTTAGATTTTGTTAAAGAATATAAAATTATTTATGTAGTCACACCTAACAGCTTAAGATTTTGAGTTGAGATATTTCTGTATAAAAATATAACTTACATCAGTGGTATAAAATTATCATGACCTCTCTCTCTGTCTATATCAAACGGAGTATAAGGCTTGGTCATTGAGACTTCTTGAATGCATAAATAAAACAAAAAATATCATTAAATTACTCTGAATTCTGTTTTATTTTATCATTAAATGTATTTTGTTATTTATGATTCTTTGCATATGATTATTCCTGATTGTTTTTCAAATAGTTATTGTTTATTAATTTGTATAATAAATATTTGAAGCTTATTAAAGTGTAACCAACAATTAGTAAAATAATTTACATCAAAGCACTGACTCAATAAACACTATGAAAAATGCGGCATTTTGGTACATTCATTTAGCCACATCTATTGAAATTACGATAAAAAAAATAAAAAATGCAAAATTTTCTATATTGTTTAATTACATACCCCAAATTATTTATTTCTTTCTATAGTAAAAAAAAAATGCCTCCACAGGAAAATCCTAAGCTCAGTTCTTACTCGTTGCTTCTTCGTCTTCCTAAGTGTTGAGTCTATGAACTTTGTAAGTTTTAGCTCCATCCTTCGTTTCTTCGTCATTCGTTTGATTATCTTCATATACAACAAGTTATGTGTTATCTTCAAATTTTCAATTTGTCACTTTAGTCACTAGCATTCTCTCTATTGCAATCAAAATCTATAAAGCTAAGCCCTAAAATTCTAAGATTTTGATTTGGATGCTCCATTTCTAACCTCAATTTTCACATTCTCACTTTCCAGTAAGTATGAGATTACGACTGAAACTGCCATTTTCCAGTAAGCCCTAAAACGTAGTTAGAATGTCGATTTTTCCAATTTCATCCTAATGAATCTACCATTTCCCGCAATTAACATTCAATATCATGTTATTGACAATTCTTCAAGATTAATTAAAACTTAATCCTTTAGTATTTTAATTCTTTAGCCTATTAATAATCCTAATCCCTTAGTGATCCTGCCTAGGGAAAGCATTAAGAACGAAGAATCGAAAGAGTTATAGATTCCACAAGTCTATCCCTAGATCAAGCAAAATCTTGCAATTAATCAAGTCAGAATCCTACACCAACATCCCTGTTGTCATGCAAGATTCATGTGTTCAACTATGAGTGATAAGTTTATAAATAAAACTAGGAATGGAAATTAGATTAATTACATAACATAAAGATTGAATATCAAATTACAAGGAAAGAGTAAATAACATCAAGAATCAAAAAATTCCATCTAACCGTAACTACAAAAAAGAAACTAGCCTAACATAGTCATAGAAACTAAAACAGAGTATGAAAAACTATAGGAATTCATAAGAAAAACTAAATTGGCAATCTCCACGGTGAAGAATAGAACATTATTCTTCCTTCTCCTCCAAGAGTACTGCTCTTCTGCCTCCAAAGTCATCCCAAGTCGTGCAAAAGTGATTAGAAAACCCTAACTTATATATTTTATAATAGAAGACTCATGGGCCTTCAAAATGATGTGCTTGCTGAAGCGAGCAAACCAACGAGGATGTACGATTGCTCGCTAGCAAGGAGAAGGCTGCAATTAATACGTATTTAGGGCTTGCTCGCTAAAGCGAGCAAGCTAGCGAGCTGTAACATGAGAAATATTCATTTTTCCCGAGTCTTGGCTTGTGTTTTTGTCTTTCTTTGGCTTCTTCAATCCATTGTTGCTCTAATTTAGCATTTTAAACCTGAAACCAATATATTTTTAAATCTGAATCATGCTCAATCACGAAAACCCCAAGTTTTTTTCATTTGATAATATACACTATGCATTTGACCATTTTTAATGTTATTTATCATACTTTTGGCCTAATAACATAGGGGGTTTGACACCTAACACTTACTAATTTTTATAATAAATATTTGAAATATATTGAAATTAATATAACTAACCGTTAATAAAATTTTATATAGGGCACTTACTAAAAAAGAAAAAAGTTGAATATGAAATAATTTTTAAATCATTATCTATCTATTTTTTTCTTTTTGAGTTTGTTTTACTAATAATTATTTCAAGAAAATTATAATAAGAATTTTAGAACATGTATTATATTAAATGTATTTTTCAATTATTTGATTAGCTTTCAATTTCTTCCTCTCTCTTTTTTGTATATATGATGTTCTTATAATTGAAATCTTCAATGTTTAATGCTTCAACTTTTTTAATTTTTTTTTTGTTTTGCATTTCCTCTACTTATATTGTATATATTGTTAAAAGAGAAAACAATGTGCATTGTTTGTTTGTTTTTTCTCCTGTGTGACAGTCCTCTTTACAGTTTTGAAAGTCTCTACTTGAGTTTTGGTTTAAACATATTTTCTCGAGAAAGTATCTCTTTACAAATTTTTTTTTATAAATTTTATCAAATTACACTATGTACTCCCGGGATAACATAGTGTAGTTTGTAAAAGTTTGTAAATATAACTCTCCCCTATTTTCTCACTCTTTTCCTACATTACTTGTATTTTTTAATTATTTAACTGACTTTCAATTTCCTCCCCTTTTTTCTTGTTTGGTTCTTGTTATATCCTCCTCCTTGCAAGTGAAATATTCAATGTACAACACTTCAATTTCTTAATTTCTTTTTGTTTCTCTTTCCTCGAGACACCTTTATTATATCTACCATTTAAATTGAAAGAAAGGGCCATTGTTTGTTTTTTTTCTCCTTGGTGACGCTCCTCTTTACCACCTTGAAAGCCTCAGCATGAATTACAGTCAAAATGTATTTTTTTTAATATTTTCCTCCTTTACTAGTATTATTCACTTATTTAATTGGCTTTTTGCTTCTTTCTCCTTTTTTGTTTTTGTTCTTATCTCTTCCTCGTAATTTAAAGCATCAATGTACAATGCTTCTGCTTTTAATTTCTTTTTGTTTCCTTTCCCACTGTCTTTATTGTATCTACCGTTTAAAGAGAAAATGAAGTGCAATGTTTGTCTTCTTCTCCTCTATACAACCTCAAAAGTCTTTGCTGCCGTTGTG